AAAAAAAAAAAAAAAAAAAAAAAAAAAAAAAAAAAAAAAAAAAAAAAAAAAAAAAAAAAAAAAAAAAAAAAAACAAATACTAACAAAGTAAAAAAAAAAAAATAATAATAACAAAAGAAAAAATATCAAAACTAACAGAAAAAAGAAATAAAAAAGCACTATTATAATTTGTACTAGGCTTAAAAAATTATATAACTAATGCAATATTTGTATATTTCTACTATAAAGCTATATTTTAACAAAAAAATTTCTTTCTAACTATCTAAACATCTATATGTAGCTTGTTAGATAGAGGTCTTGTTATATGAAGTAGTACTATATTCATCGATAAACAAAATATGTGATTGCAATCTACTACAATATTCTAATTTGTATAGAGTAAACAATACTGATCTTTTGGTAGGAATAAACTATTTTGCCTACTTTTTATGAAAATTTTGTTGAAAGAGTAAGTAGATAATAGTATAAAGTATAGCCCTTGTATTCTTTTTAAAAGAAAGTATATTTTTTTTCAAAACTAATAAAATATATAAAGTCAAGTATACTACTGTAAATGGTCATATAAAAGACCCCCCATGGTAGTAGACCCCCCACTAATGTACCCGGGTCTATATCACAGGTTATTTATTTGGTTGAATGTAAAAGACCTGGGTCTTTAATATCAGGGTACTTTATATAGAAAATTAAATTATATATCGATATATTCTAGGGCTATAATAGAGCGATTATTTTAACTTGTTTTTGATAAGATTTCTTGCAAATAAATCTGCATATCCTTAAAAGAATTGTATTTAAATTATTTAATATTTGATTCACAAATAAATTATACAACTAAAAATTATTTAATACATTATATTTAAAACAGTTTAGATAGCAACAGCAGTGTTTGAAAATTTATTATGAAGTTGTGCTAAATCTTTGATATATTCGTGAGTTATTTCAATTTACTTTCTATATAAAGTCTCTAAAATTTGATATTAAAAAGTCATAAAGACTTCCTCTATTTGTATATTAAAATGCTATCAATTATTCATTGCTAATAGTGTTTTGTGTTAGTTTATATATTTCAAGTTTACTACCCATTAACCTATTTCTATATTATTTCTAGTCCCAAATATTTTCATATTCGACCATCTCATTTTCATAAAACAGATCCACTTCTTCATCTTCATCATAATTTTCATCTATAGCTAAACTAGCACCTTGAATTAAATCGCTGTCTTGAGTTGGTTTATAAACATTTTCATTATCTTGACTTAGATTGTATGAACTTTTACTATCTTGAGTTAAATCATAGATATTTTCATTATCTTGAGTTAAATTGTAGACATTTTCATTATCTTAAGTTAAATCGTAGACACTTTCATCGTCTTGTCAAATTATAAATATTTTTATCTTTAATTAAATTAAGGTGTTTATAAACAATTTTATCCAATAACAAATATA